TCATTATGTCTTTTAACTACTGCATTACCCTGGAATAGTTTTTTAATTTAATGAATAACTTTTTTCTGCTCTATAACAAAATTAGTCTTAAATTTTCTTTCCTCTAGTTTATCCTTAGAGCTACTCTATTTTCCTTTTAGGAAAAAAAACTTAAAAGGATTCATAATTTTATATCATATTCACATCTATTTCTACCAGAGCATACAATCAATAGTAGAATACTATGTACCCAGGACTGTCTTGGGGTTTTCTTTTTTTAGAGGGCGAAGGGAAGAGGTTAATTAACAGCTGGGTTTATGAGTGAATTTTATTTCTATTTGATCTGTAGTAAAAAGATAGATCTTTCAGTTATTAAATGGTTTCTGCTGTTGACAAGAAGTGTTAATGAAAATGTTAATGACATACTAAGACAAAATAGATTGCTTTAGATATAAAACTTTGTAAGGAAAGTTTAGAATTAAAAATTGGAGAGTAAAATAAAATCGGATTTAATTTTTGGGTACTACAAGGTGGAATTGTAATATATGAAGGAGACACGTGTGTGTGTGTGTGTGTGTGTGTGTGTGTGTCTGGGGGAGAGAAAGGAAGAGGAGGAGGAGGAGGAGGAAGAGGAGGAGGGGGAGCAGGAGGAGGATCAGGAGGAAGAGGAGGAGGGAGAAAGGAGAAAGGAGGAAGGAGGAAGGGGGAGGAGGAGAAGAGAGAAGGGGTGAAAAAGGACAAGAGAACAGACCCAGGGATTTCGACCTGGGTCAAGCCTCACACATCCAGTATTTTCCATTCTGGTATGAGATCTGAACAACCAGAACACCCACCCATTTCCCCTTACTTTAAGATCTGCACGATTAAGAATTGTTCCTCTGACTTTAATTTTTATTCATCAGTCAGTCTTCCTGGGAAGGCCGGTACAATTATTTTAAAAGCAGGCGACGGGGTGCGAACCACCAAGAGCCTTCTTCAAACCAGACACACGACCTTTCTTCCTCTGGTTCTTGTATTGCTCTTCTTAGTCTAGCCAGAAGAGAACCAGACAAGTTTATTTACACACACACACACACACACACACACACACACACACACACACGGGGGGAGGGGAGAGAGAGAGAGAGAGAGAGAGAGAGAGAGAGAGAGAGAGAGAGAGAGAGACGCCCTCTTCCCACTCCTTCCAAACAATTATCTGGGAGAGCAAAAGAAAATAATCAACAGCCCTGCGTGCTGGGCGCAGCGCTGGCGAGCCGGGCGCGGGCGCGGGCGCGCGGGCGGGCGGAGGGAGGGCGGTCTGCAGGCGAGCCGGCAAACGTGGCTCCGGTGCGGAGCCGAGGATTTGTGAAAAGGAGCGCTGGCCCGCGTGCGCCTCTTGTCCCCCGTGTAATTTGCAGCCAATCATCAGTAGGTGTCCACGTCCCCGCGTCCTCCTCACCTCCGCGCCAATCGCCCCCCGCCCCCCGCCCCGCGCGCCCGCCCCCAGCTCCACACCTCCTCCCTCGCCTTTCTCTGCGATCCCCTCCCCCCAGCAACCACACACACACACACACACGCACACACACGCGCGCACGCACACACACACACACACACACACACAAACAGAGAGAAGGGGGGAGGGTGAGAAAGAGAGAGGAGAGACTCCCCGGCTCCCTCCCTCCCTCCCTCGCACACAGCGACTGGAGACGGACGGAGAGCAACGCGCTGGGAGAGGACAGACCACCGGCTACAGCCCCGCGCTTGGCTCTCACACATACACGCACACTCGGCTCTTTCCTCTCCCCCCCACCCCACCTCCTCCTCCTGCCACCCCCACCACTAACACCATCTCCTCCTCCTCTCTGCAACAAGAAAAAAAAAAGCCATTTACAGGTATTTTTTTTTGATCCGCATATTTATTTACCCCCCCTCCCCAACAGTTTGTTTACAAGTATTAAAGTTGTAATTGGGAGCTGCCAAGACACATCTGGATTTGTGTTTCTTTGTGTTAGGGGGTGATGTGCAACTAATTAAAGGCAGACTGGCAGCGTCTGCAAATTCTAAGGCTCCCCAAATAAAAAGAGACTGGTAAGTGATTGTTCTTTCTCTTTCTCTGGCTACCACTCTCTCTCTCTCAATCTTTCTCTCTCTCTCTCTCTCAATCTGTCTCTCTCTCTCTCTCTCCAATGTTTGCTGTCCGTTGGGATTGTAAAAGTAGATTATTAATGCTGGACTCCAGCAATAAAAGCCGTGGCTGGATTAATTTATTAATTAATCTGTACCCGCCCCCTCCTCCTGAATGTTAAATGTGACCTTTGATCTCTGTGTCTCTGGTAGAGCAGACATACAATATTAGATATGTACAGTCACATTGTTTAAAGGCAAACTAGGGTTCATGAAGTCTGGATGTTTAATTGAGGTTTGGTATAGGACTAGAGTTATTTGTGTGTGTGTGTGTGTGTGTGTGTGTGTGTGTGTGTGTGTTATTTTAATGCTAAATAAAATCCAAACAATAGAGGTGGCTTAGGAACCTTTATTTTCATGTTCCAGAGATGCAAGGATTAAACAATAATGACCTAGAGACTGGGTGCAATCCTTTTCTACAGTTTCTGGCGGCATTAAACCTTGAGGTTGGAAGTGGGGAGAGGTGGTGGCCATGAGAAAAGCAAGAACAGCTTCTGTTTTGAAACACCACTCTGAGACTCTGAAAGGGGACATTGCATTATTCCTGTATTTGGAACAAGGTCAAAAAGACTAAAATGTTGATTTCCCTTCCACTCAGTGTGATGATACCTAGTGCATGGTTGGCATAACTAGTTTGAACTGAGTAGCATGTATTAGGATCTTGCAGTTGCAATGTGATTTGCAGAAACTGAAGCTATATGCATATTCTTGCAGTATCTTCCTTCCCCTCACCCTCTCATCCCTTCCAAGCATCAAGAATCTCTAGCCAGGAGCATTTTGGGGGCACCCTTTGTATTGCCATCAGACCCTAGAAGAGAGCAGTTTTCCCTAATGTGAAACCACAGAGGTGTTCCTGAATGATTAGTTACTTGCTGTGATTGAAAAGATGCCTGCTAGCTTTTTATCCAGCCTGGGGTGAGGTTCCTTATCTTGATTTACTTTGCCTAATAGAGATTTGTTTACATAAACTTCTGTTTTTAGGGCACCTCATCAGTAGGTCTTGGAAGTTTTGCACTTGGAGTGTAGGCATAAATGGTTCATTAATCTAATTATAAGTGTAATTACTATAATTGATATCCATTTTAAAGTCTGAATATTTGAGACTGAGACTACTGGGCCCACATTAAGAATTCCCAGAACTCCACATGTTAGACCAATCTATGGGCTTTAAAAGATGTCACAGAAAGATATTCTACATATATATATATGTATATATACACATATATACACATACATATATATATCTGGAAACAAAGACACTGGTTTTTAAGGTGCATACACACTTTATACCTTTACTTCTTAAAAGGCTGTGGTGTATCTTTCTCTGTGTAATACACAACTAAAATACCTCTTCCTAAAGCAGAATAATGGCTTTCTTGAAAGCAGAGAGATGAATGCAAACACCCAGTTAGCATTAAACTTTCCTCCTTCAAAGGAGCAAAAGAAAAAAAAATATTGTGATGGTTATTTCTTCAGGGATCTTTTCTACATTTTTCAATGTAGAAAAATCAGTGATTGTGAGAAATTCGTGTGGCTGGGAGGGGGGGAGGGTCCCATCCATGCTTTCCTCTTATCTTGGAAAGAGACAGCAATCTCTATGGGGAATAACTGGGAATATTCTGACAGAGGCTGCAGCCACTAGGTTCAAAGCCTTTGACATTGCTTGTATTTTTTTTTCTTTTTAAATTATCATCTTTCTTTTCTCTCCCCCCCTCCCTTTTTTTTAAATAAGTAGAACACCATCCTCTTACCCCGATCAAGCCCCACCACCAAATGGCTTGTACAATTGAGACCTGTCCTTGGTCCATTGAATTAAGACCCTAACAGAGCCAGCTGTGCTGGGATTCAAACTAATGACCGCAGACACAGAAGGACACAGTGGCAGCTGGTAGTCCTTTTTTTTTTTTCTTCTTCTCTCTCTCGCCTCTCTCCCTGCCTCTTTAGTTCAGATTGTATGTGGGCAGTCTCTTAGCTCTCAGTTGTATTGTGTTTGCTTACAGTTTATACTCGGATGTATTGTAGACTTTCTCAGTACTTCATTTGCTAATTTCCTGTTCATTTTCCTCATAGGGCCATGGCTGGTGGGTTTTTTTTTTCCCCTTCTACTTTGCAGCATTTGCATGCCCCGACAGCACTTGTTCACACATTTCATAATGTTTAAATGCCCTCTGCTTATAGGTAGTATCACCCTCCCACCCCTGATTTGCATGTCTTTAGCACTCCAATTGCCCTTTTCCCTCAGCCTTCGTCACCCCGTCTTCCCTCTTTCCCTGGGTATCCTGGCTATTAATACATTTTCTCAGGAGGGTTACAAGAATAGGGGGAGGGGGAGAAGCTGTGCGGTGCTGCTGGGAGGGAGGGAGCTGGGGTAGGAAGTGGGGGGGGCTAGGAATTAGAAGAGGGGGGGGTGGAATCACGTCTTGATGATTGTTATGCAAACGACCCGCCTGAAGAATGTAGGCGCTTTGGGGAGGGGGTAGCTGGGGAGGGGGGGTGTCTGTGAAGGAGGCTGTTTATTTATTTTAAACCTTTTTTTTTAACCCCCTCCCCCTCCGTGCAGCAGCTCGTTGGAATGACTTTCTTTCTTTTAGTTGTAACAGTTGGAGGATAATGCAAAGGAAGACGCAGCTGCCCGGCAGTGCACCGTCTATGGAAATGCGCCCCGGAGAGGAATAAAGCCACCCTTCACCTTGCTCTCCCCACCCGGCCCCGCTCTCCCCTCCCCCCACCCCAGCCCCCACCCCAACACCACCATCACCCCCTTCCCGCCCCCCCACCTCCCCCCCTTTCCCACCCAGGTGTCGGACCCGGCGGTCCCCACCACTTCCACCCTGCACCCCTTCTTTCCACCCTGCACCATGAACAGCAATGTCTGCGTGGAACCGGGGCCGAGCCCGGAGACCCCGGGTCTGCCCAAGGAGAGCCACCTGCCCGAGGGCGCCTTGAACAGCCTTGTGGATTACAACTCGGAGATGGAGCGCTACCGCTCGTTCGCCACCTCGTTCTACAAGACCAACGGGGGCGCCTTCCCGCAGGCCGCCAAGATCGCGCGCATCACCACCCCGATCTTCCCGGGCAGCGCCGCCGCCGCCGCGGCCGCCGCGCGCATCGGCATGGCCCCCTGGAACTGCGACAACGCGGCCACGGCGGCCGCCGCCACCGCCATGCTCTGGGGCAGCGGCGGGGGCGGGGGCGGGAGGAAGTCCTCCTCCTCCTCCGCCTCCGCCTCCGCCGCTGCCGCCGCCGCCGCCGCCGCCGCCTCCGCCCTCCTCCCCGCCGGCGGGGGCGCGGGCGCGGGCGGGGGCGCGGGCGGCGGCGGGGGCGGCGGCGGCGGCGGCGGGGGCGCGGGCGGCGCGGGCGGCGCGGGCGGCGGCAGGACCGGCCTCCCCCACCGCACCGACTCCCAGCGGCTGGCCAAGGCCGGCTGCCCGCCCGAGCAGCCGCCGCCGCCGCCGCCGCCGCCGCCCCCGCCGCCGCCGCCGCCGCCGCCGTCGTCGTCGTTGCAAATGGCCAACACTAATTTCCTCTCCACCTTGTCCCCCGAGCACTGCAGACCTCTGGCGGGGGAATGCATGAACAAGCTCAAGTGCGGCGCGGCGGAAGCGGAGATCATGAACCTCCCCGAGCGCGTGGGCACCTTCTCCGCCATCCCGGCTTTGGGGGGCATCTCGTTACCTCCGGGGGTCATCGTCATGACCGCGCTGCACTCCCCCGCCGCCGCCTCGGCGGCCGTCACGGACAGCGCCTTCCAGATTGCCAACCTGGCAGACTGCCCGCAGAACCACTCCTCCTCCTCCTCCTCCTCCTCCGGGGGCGCTGGCGGGGCCAACCCCGCCAAGAAGAAGCGGAAACGCTGCGGCGTGTGCGTGCCTTGCAAGAGGCTCATCAACTGTGGCGTCTGCAGCAGTTGCCGGAACCGCAAAACCGGACACCAGATCTGCAAATTTAGGAAATGTGAAGAGCTAAAGAAAAAACCTGGCACTTCGCTAGAGGTCAGAGGAGATGATTTCTTGTTTCCCAGCCTCCCCCCCGCCCTCCTCACGCCTTTCTCCTCTCCCCCCACGCAGGGCTGCTTGTCGGGCTTCAACGTGCAGTACCCCTTCTCCGAAGCCGCCTTCAGGTTGTGAGAGCCACCCAGCCCCGCACGGTGGCGGGTTGGGTGGATGGATGGGCCGAGGGCGCGGCCTCTGCGCCACCCGGTCCCACCACAGCTAACCCTGGGCGTGGCACCGCCCTGCTGCTACACTAGAGGGAGCGCCCCTCCTTTGTGTGCGTGTGCGTGAGTGTGTGTGTGTGTGTGTGCAATTGCTCTGGATAATCACAAGTCTGACATTCAATGTGGTCCGCTTTTGACTCCTTTAAAATGCACCCTCCTCCTTATTAAAAAGGAAAAAAAAAGAAATCCATACCTATGTCCAAAGAATTGGATATATCATATCCTAGAGATGCTTATAGCTTAGAGAGACTTAATAGTGTGGCACAGTTATGAAGGTGAGGACCCAGCGTGTGTGCATGTATCTGGAGACATACATAAATGCACACATACATATTACATATGCACATATACGAATGTGTACACACACACACACACACACACGTACACTGAAATAACCTGTTTTTTCTACCCCTGGCTAAGATAGTTCGTCTCTTCAACCTGAAAGGTTTCCAGTTGTTTTTTTTTTTTTTTTCCTATCTGGCATTTTTTTTTTTTTTTTGAGAAAGTAGAAATCATTTAGAACGCTTACGACCACCACCAGTTTTTAAGGAGTTGTGTGACTTCGCATCAAAGAATGCAGTTCTTTTGAGGGCAAATGCTCGGGAGTTAGACATTGTTTTACATAGTTTCAGAAGTGAATGGTAAAGTACTTCCCTTGGGTTGTGGGTTGGACAAAGTTACAAAGTTCTGTGGTTACAGAATTGCTCTACACATCAAGAGTGGTTTGGGTTCAAGATCTAATAATGATCAATGCTAGTTTCTTGGACTTCTGTCCTTAAGACATTCTATAGATGGTCTCTGAAATGGTTATTAAATTAGCCTGTTACGTTAAATATAGAAATTAGTGTGTTTGGTGAAATTTTTATAGTATCTGGATCAAAACAGTACAGGAAAAAAGTAGAAAATTACAAAAGCAAATGATTTGATGGTATATTTTAAAAATCATGGAAAGGTAACCATAGTTAGCTGTTTGCAAAATGAGACTCCAGGGGGTGGATTTAGTATTTGGAAACATTATATGGTCTAGATTGTAGAGTGAGTATGGCTTCCATAAGCTATCTTAAGAGAAGTGTCTGTATATTCTTGTCCATATTATGAGCACTACTTGGAGATGTTTCTTTGGTGAAGTTCCATTATGAATTACTGGAAAATGATGTTTGAAAGGATGGAGACAGGGTTAAAGATTTTTGTGGCTGGTCTGAACACAAATCCCAGTATCACTTTATAAAAATTATTATTCTTAGTATAGTAGTATAAATCAAGGCAGATAGCACTTTGGGATTCCAAAAATCAGAAGTGTATGGGAAATATTATTGACTACAATCAGTTCCATTAAAATATTGCACTTGACCCTCTTTACATGAGAAAGTGTGTCTTTGTTAAAAGTTTAACTTTACTGCAGGGTGATTTATTGTATTTCCTTTGGTACCTCTGTTTAAGCAAAGATTCTAGTACCAGCGTGTAGGTTCTTGTATCTTCTTTGGTGGTTCAACTTAACGTTTGAGTTCTCCTTTAAGGATTAAGATACTATGACTTCTCTAGACATGGAAAACCATAGAAAATTAGATTCAGCTCTACTAAAATTTCTCATGAATACTCAATTGATAAGAAATACATGGTTTTGAACCTTCTCTTTCGAGATGTACATAGAACTATAGGTTTTTGTATTACAGCACTATGAACATGCCATTTTTGGGCATTTAATGGACAAGGACTACTGAAAAGTTTGGACTTAGAAAGTAACCAGTAGGGTTGTTTTGGGTTTGTATTTTCCTGTGTAAGTTTCTTTGCTCATTGCTCATGTATCAGTTTAAGACAGTTTCATACACCTTTTTTTTGTTCTCTTTCAATAGTTTTCCCGCAAGCTTGTTATATGATGTTTAAATTTCCTAGGCATTTTGGAAGCTCACAAAATAGCATAGATTCCTTTTCATTCCTTTTGAAAAGTCTCATGCATAAAAGTTCTGCTGATCTTCCAAAGTTGGGTGTAGATAGCAAATTAGGCAAGTCTCAAGATGTTCTCTTCCTCAGAGTCTCTCTCCTATCAGAGTGGGGATTATTGTTTAAATATTATCAGTGGAACAATATTTGGCCATAGAAAGAAAAAGGCTTTGTTAAAAAAAAAAAGAAAATTGTCTATAGTCTATGTAGGTCATTAAAAATTAGGAATTGCAAGTAGTAAATTAAAGTATACCTACAAGTATATAGTTGGAGGCCACCAGACACCTGTCAGAGTGACAGGGACTTATACAACTGAAAGAGAGCTGGAAGAATGGCTTGGAGGTCAATAAAAAGTCCCACTACTGACCTGGGCTTCTAAGGTGTTTCAGACACTGAATTTACTGCTAAGTGGGGATGGTCACTTGTGAGCTCAATAGGGCTGCAATTTCTAGATTGCCATTTGGAAACTTGGTAGCAAATCCTGATGACTTTAGAATACCTGTTAGCATTTCATCATCTTGACATGTATTTCTAGTTATCCCTTCCAATATCATGTTCCCTTGTTTGTTTCTTTTACTGAGTCTCATCTCAGAGACTGAGGTATTATCAATTTTTCTATTAAGATAGACTCATATGGATCTGCAGGCATTCTTGCCTACTTTTTTAAAGTCCAACACTAGCCTGCTTGCCTGCTTCCTTGCCTACTTTTTTAAAGTCCAACACTAGCCTGCTTGCCTGCTTCCTTCCTTCCTTCCTTCCCCCCCCCTCCTCCTCTTCTTCTTCCTCCTCCTCCTTCTCCTCCTGTTCCTCCTCCTGCTCCTCCTCCTGCTCCTCTTCCTCCTCCCCCTCCTTCTCCTCCTCCTCCTTCTTCTGCTTTTCTGTGCCAGTTCTGGAGTTTTAACTCAGGGCCTGGGCACTGTCTCTGAGGTTTTTTTTTTTTTTTTTCTGAAGTCTAGACCTCTACCACTTGAACAACAGATCTACTTCCAGCTTTTTTTTTTGTTAATTGAAGTAAGAGTCTCATGGACTTTCCTGTCTAAGCTGGCTTTGATCCTCAGATCTCAGCTTCCTGAGTAGTTAACATTATAGGCCTGAGATGCTGGTGCCTGGCTTAGCCTTCCTTTTAAAGTTATATTTCCTGCTTCATTTAATTTTAAGAGCAGCAATTAATGCCACAGAAAAATTTTCACCCCTTGATTACATATTACCTCTTGGTAATAGTTAGGATCATGCACATAAATCATTTAGTTTTTCTATGATTTCAGGACTATATATTTGCATATTTCGCTGTTGACTTAGTCTCTGTAGTAATAGCCACTAATTGTTGGAAGCAGTTGTTAAAAATGCTTTTTAAATAGTGATGTGAAAAACATTAATATAAATGCCAGTGATTGATACTTAGTTCCTAGACACATTAACCAGCATGATTATATAGGCAAATCCTTATAACATTAAGCTACAAGCAAAGACAAACCTTAAATTTTTATATTCACAACAGTTAGGTTTCTGATGACTTTTTTACAATATTCCAGTCGGATAAGGCTCAAGGGATAAAGTTATCCCCTGGGCAACCCCAGGTTCTCAGTGCCTGAACATTGTTCAGGTGACATGATTGATCTCAGTGGGACAGCATTAAAGACCACACAGATCTGGTCCCCCTCCCCCCATTAGTTGATTTATGGAATTGCATTAGTAAGAGATGCCTCTTGAGGTTGGGAGAGTTCCCTGCCCCCACACCTGCTCTCTTTACTGCCACAACTTCATAGGGAAGAATTTGAGAAACTGGAAAATCAGGGGAAAGGATGCCTTTTTCTTTTCTTTTTCTTTCTTTTAAAAATTTTATACTGAAGAACAGGACAACTTCTTCTACAAGCCAGGTTGATCTTCTTGAGGCTTTGGTAAAAACTACCCAGGTATTATTTAAAAAATGATAACTTGATTGCAAAGATTACTTTAAGAGAGGAGGGACATAATTTATATATATGCTAACTTATGAGTCCTGGCAAACGTATAGACAGTTATGAAAATCTAGTCAAAGCACTCTTTTTAATTTGTGTAAAAATGATGACACCTACTTGCTGAGGACATTCAACTGTAGACCAGACAGAAAATAGTTGTCACTCAAATTCAGAATTTGTATAGTTGGAAAAAAAATAGTGAATATTTGAACCTGTTGTAAGGTTTTTGAAGTATGAATTCAGTAATTATGATCACTGAATCAAATATAAATGTTTTATTTCTTGATTTGAAACATTCCCGTTTATCAAGTTATGTGGCAATTTAAAAGCTGTCTTTTCAGATTCCATTTTCAAGAATTAAAAAGATGCAAGTTCTAGTTTTAATACAAAAATGCAAACACATCATTAGCTATAAAGGGAAAGATAATTTTTCAATACAAAATGATAGTATCTTTATAAGTGATAGGAAAAAGAAGAACTCAGAAAAGTTGAACCCTTAAAGCCAAAGCCACAGATCAGTGGTTTTGGTCAAAGTATTTAATGTCCATTGAAGTTCACTTCCCATCAGTATGTTTAATCCAAAGGAGCTAAAGATAGTATATATACATATATGTATATATACACACATATATATGTATATATACGTATATATGAATATATATACATATATGAATATATATACGTATATATATATATGAATATATTGTACATGGGTGAATATGCCCATCTTTATCTGTCAATTTAAAAATAATAAAAAATAAAATTGGTTTTAAAAGAAATAATTTTTTTGTTTTTGTTTTTTGGTTTTTTTTGTTATTTATTATTATTATTATTATTATTATTTTTTTTTTTTTTGCAGTCCTGGGGCTTGAACTCA